CTCGCCGTCTCATCTCGCCCTGGCAATTTGAGTTTTCTCAGTCCGTTTTGCTCTGCTTGAATTTCCACGCATGTCTTGACTTGTTACAGGTGCAGAGGAAGCTGCGAAAGAAACCCCAAAACACTGAATGGGTTTTAATTTGGGCCAGTTCAAAGCTCTTTATGGAGAGCTCGGAAAGCCCTGACCGCAGCCCGAACGTTTCACCTCGGTGCCTGCCACCGAGGGCGAGCCTTTCTCTTGGGGGCGATTGCAGTTATTAACAAAGCAGCGCGGCTGAAACCAGCAAACGTCGCGACACGGGGCTGAATTAACGCGTTTCAGGGAGGCATCGGGTTTGTTTTCAAGACAAGGGGTGATTCCAGGTCCCATGCTGGAGGCTGCTCCTGGTGAGACCTCCTGCGTGCCCACTGGTCCCTCTAGAAGCTCCATGTCCCCCTTGTCCTGGGGAGCCCAGAGGTGCCCCCAGTGCTCCAGATTTGGCCTCCCCGGAGCCGGGCAGAGGGGCAGGAGCAGGATCCCCCCCTGTCCTGCAACATCCTCCTGATGCAGCCGGGATCCCAGGGGCCTTCCTGGCCACGAGGGCACCATGGTCAGCTCAGTGTCCACCAGCACTCCCAGATCCCTCTCCACGGAGCTGCTCTCCAGCAGGTCAGCCCCTAAGTCATACTGGTGTCATGGGCCGGGTAGCGGCTCCGGCTCCCCAGGGAATGGACAAGGGATTCCCGCTTGGATCCCAGCAAATGCGCGGCCCCAGAGAGCAAGCGCGGAAGGACGTGGCCGGGTCCCGCGGCCTCGGCTCAGCAAGGAGAGAAAACCTCTACTTGACCGCGCGTGCCGGACACGGAGCAGGGCTCGGTGCGGGGCCATGTGGAGCATCTCCGAGGGCATTTAGCTTCTCCCTGCCCTCCGAGGCCGTCGCGGGCCCGTCCCCAGCCAGACAGCGGCGCAGAGCCGAGCGGGCGAGCGCCGTTCCTCCCACTTCCTTTCAATTTCCCAAACAATTTCCTAATCAGACCTTTCTGTCTGGGTTTTATTAGTGATTCACAGGCCAAGAGGAAATGGTGATTTTTGGGCCCTGGTCTGATGGAAGGGGTGGAGCTGGTATCAATATTCCCCTTTTGTAGCTAAGCAGCAGATAAACCGCAGAGGAAGCGTCTAAAGGACACCAGCTTTGCTCTCTTGGCACCGAGAGTCTCCTTGAGCCGAGATAAATCCCTTTTTTGTGAGTTATGAAAGCAAAGAGCGGCTGGGAGCGAGATGAAGGCGGCTCCTCTCCCTGGACAAGTCGCTCCAGGAAGGGGGGTCCCTTCCCGGCCGTGCTGCGCGTGGGTCAGGGACGGACACAGGGCCCCGTCCCCGTCAGCCCCGGCTCCCCGCGCCCCGACCCCGCGCCCGCCGGGGCATTCCTGGCGTCCCTGCGATCCAATCGGCCCGCAGATTCCTGGCATTTTTCATCAAACACAGCATCTGCCGCGGCCTTTGATTCCCGCCGCGAGGCGGTTTGCTCTGCGGGTCGGGCGGCCGCCGCCCCCGGCCCAACAGCCCCGGGCGCCCGGCACGCACCCGCCGCTCGTCCCTCCGCCCCTCTCGTGGCAGCGTTTGCCCCCAAACGGCGGCGTTTGCCCCCAGACGGCGGCGTTTGCCCCCAAACGGCGGCGTTTGCCCCCAGACGGCGGCGCGGCTCCGTGGCCGTGGATGCCGCTCAAGTCAGGCGCGGGGCAGCCGGGCTGCAGGGCAGCGCGCTGTTTACTTTAATTTCTCGGAGAGCTTTTGGGGAGATTTCCCCCCTCGGTTATTAAACTCAGATGAGCCGCTGGGGAGGTTGGGTCGCATGTGGTTCAGGGCTCTTTTTTCTCCTGTTATTATTTTTTTTTGCAATATTGCACTTTTAACTCTTTTGGGGCAGGGCTCCATCTGTGCGAAGGGCAGGTGCAGGAGCCACAGGGGTGATTCCCGAGGTGGCTCCACGGCCCCTCTTCCCATGGCCCCTAAACTGATCCCGCGTGTGGCTTTGAGCTCCCGAGGGCTCCTGTGGGGCAGCCCCCTCTCGCGACACCGGCCGCACGTCAGCGGGCACCGGGTCGCGCTCTTCTGCGACCAGTTCTGTTCAAAGCGCGGGGCACGCTGCATCTGTCCGGGGGGACGCCGCGTATGAGAAGCAGGCACTCGGCTGGCCCAGGGCCGCTCCGTTTGCAACCAGCCCAGACCGAGCAGATTGCTGCAAACTTCCCGCCCGGCCCCCTGCGCGGAGCCGTCCCCGGAGCCGAGCGCGATCCCTGCGGCAGGGAGCAAGGAGCCGCTCTCCCGCCCGCTCTCCTGTGCCGGCATCTGCCGCGATCCAGACCTCGGAGCAGAACCCGGCACTGTCCAAAGTGCTGCCGCGCAGGAGGCCCCAAACCGGGGACGCTTTCGCCCCTGCTCTCTGTGAGGAGCTTGTGGCTTTGCAGCTAGCTCTGAGCGAGCAGAGCAAACACGGGTGAGCACGGGCAGGCTCCAGGCTCTGCAGCACAGCAAAGCCAAGCCCGTTTTTGGCCCAAGCTGTTTCCCTTCACTGCCCTCGCACAGAAGTGGCCAAGTTGGATCCTCGCGTCCCTGACAAGCGTCATTTTTGCTTCCTTTAATCCCACGCCCAGGGCTGCGGCCCGTGCTGCGCCGCAGGGCCAGCGAGCTTGGCTGCAGCCTGCAGGGCATATGGAAAGGTAAAAGGACTCCTTTATGGCTCCCTGCAACTGCTCCCGCACTCCTCCAAAGTGCAGGGAATGCGGGGAGGAGGGAATGGGGTGATGGAGCGAGGAGCCCCGGCCAGTGTTCCTGCTGTGCCCATGTCCCCGTTCTCTGCTCCATGCCTGTGCTCCTGCTTCTGCTCCATGCCTGTGTTCCTGTCCTGTGCACTGTGCCCGTGTCCCTGTCCTACACCCCATGTCCCCATCGTCTGCTCCATGCCCGTGTTCCCCATTCCGCTCCATGTCCGTGTCCCCATCCTGTGCCCACAGCGCCGCTTTGTCCGGTGTGCGCTCGTGGTGCCGCGCGTGACCCCGGCTGCCGGCGCCGCGGGCCTGGGAACCCTCTGATGTTGCTGCCCCCTTTGCTTTCCGAGCTCGCAGGCACCCTGGGCTCCGTGGGGGAACAAAGGTCCCTTTGAGAGCAGGAGGCCGCTGTGCCCGTGGGAGCCAGTGGGGAAAGATGAGAGTCCTGGCAGCAGGGGAGCTGTGGGACCATCCTGTCTGGGGCTGCAGGGTCCCTATGGGGTTGTGCAGGGTCCCCATGGGGCTGTACAGGGTCCCTATGGGGTTGTGCAGGGTCCTCCAGGGCTGTTCAGGGTCCCTATGGGGCTGTGCAGGGTCCCCCAGGGCTATGCAGGGTCCCCACGGGGCTGCACGCTGCAGGACGCCGGGGCCCCGCAGAGCCTTTCCCCGCACCGAGGGCGCAGTGTCCCTGCCGCCTCCTCCCGCCCGCAGCTGCTTCCCCATCCCGCAGCGCTGCGGCTTCCCCCATCCTGCATCCCGGGCGACCACGGGAGGCATGTTCCCAGCCTGGCTTGTCCCGGCTCACGAGCCGCGGGATGCTGGGGCTCCCGGCAGCCGCAGATCCCCCTCCTGCCCGCCGATGCCCCCGCTCCCGCCGGGCATCCTGGCGCCGCATCCGGGCCCCTCCTCCGGCGCGGGCTGCTCGGGCGGCCGCAGGGAGCCGGGGCGGCGGCGGGCGGCCTGGGCCTGCGGCCGCGGCGCAGGGAAGTGAGCGGCAGTGACGCTTTCCTGCTCCCCGCGCGGGGAGCGTTTCCGTCGCGGGCGGCGGCGGCAGGAGCGGCGGCCCCGGCGCTGTGCGCGCCCGGCTCCACGGTGAGTGGCGGCGGCGCGGAGCGAGGCCGGCCGCGCGGCCGGGGCGGCCGTGCAGGGCCGGGCTGCCTCTCATGGAGGCTGCTGCTCCGCTCGCCCGCGGCCTCGCGAGGAGAGAGGCGCTGCCGGCGCCCTGCTCGCCTGGCCGGGACGCCTGCCCGCCCTCCGTGTGCGTGTGTGCTTGTGTGTGCCTGTGTGTGCCTGTGCTTGTGTGTGCTTGCATGTGCTTGCATGTGCATCTGTGTGCTTGCATGTGCTTGTGTGTGCTTGTGCTTGTGTGTGCATGTGTGTGCTTGCATGTGCTTGTATGTGCATGTGTGTGCTTGCGCTTGTGTGTGCTTATATGCTTGCATGTTCTTGCATGTGCATCTGTGTGCTTGCATGTGCTTGTGCTTGTGTGTGCATGTGTGTGCTTGCGTGTGCATGTGTGTGCTTGTGTTCTTACATGTGCTTGCGCTTGTGTGTGCTTATGTGCTTGCATGTGCTTGTATGTGCATCTGTGTGCTTGTGTGTGCTTGTGCTTATGTGTGCTTATGTGCTTGTATGTGCATCTGTGTGCTTATGTGTTCCTGCTTTTGCATGTGCTTGCATGTGTATGTGCTTGCGTGTGCTTGCATGTGCGTGCGCTTGCATGTGCGTGTGTTTACCCCACGCTCTGCCTGGGTCCCTGTGGGGCCGCAGCACGCTGTGTGCACGGCCAGGCTCGCTCCAGCTGCACACGCGGCACCAGGAGTCGCAGGTCTCTCTGTGCCCGTTGCTGCAGCTCCCTCCCGCCCGGCCTGCCCCCCGGAGCCCCCAGCCCCTTCCCTCCCGCCCGGCGTGCCCCCTGCAGCCCCCAGCCCCTTCACTCCCAGCCTCACGCTCCCTCCGTCCCGTGACGGAGCCAAGCGCAGCGCTGGTGCCAGCGCGGGCACATTCACGGGCGCTGTCAGATCTGGCACATCCCAGGGCCATGATCTACCAGCCGTGTCTGACACCGCTGCCCGGCCCTGTTTAACCCGGCAGGGCCCATGAATCACAGCAAATTATCCTGCTCTTGGAGAGGCAGCTGCTCCCCAACGAGCCGTCCAGGCAGGGACGGAATCGCGTCCCGCACAAGCGCGGCCGGCCCCCGGGAATCGTGCCCGCCGTCACCGCTCGCCGTCTCTCTTGCAGCCCGGGAGGATGTTTGCAGTGTGCCAGCCCGAGGGCGCCGGGCACGGCCCGTTCCGCGAGGGCGCCGTGCTGGGCACGGCCTTCGCGGGCCCGGCCGCCGACGCCAACTCCAACTTTGTGGCGGGGGGCTACGACCGCAACGAGAACTGGAGCCGGCCCGCGCCGGGCGCCCGCAGCGGCGACGCCACAAATCCCTCCGATAATCTGCTGTTATTAATGCCGAGACAGCTGGGCCCGGGCGGGCTTAGGGGCGCCGCGCAGAGCGGAGACCCGGAGCGCCTCCGTGCCGCCGTGCGGAGCCCCCCCGAGGGCGCGGAGGCCGGCGGGACGGGAGCCGGCGGGACGGAGGCCGCCAAGCCGCCCGGCTCCCCCGCGGAGGACAACGGCTACGGCAGCAGCTCCCTGAGCATCGAGAGCCCCGAGAGCGGCGGCGCCGGCGCCCGGGAGCCTCCCGCCGCCGCCCGCGGCCGCAAGAGCCCGGCCGAGCCGGAGCCCGAGCCGTGTCCCGACGCGGACACCCTCCTCCCGGCGCTGGCCGAGGCCTTCCAGCACATCCAGGACAAGGAGCGGTTCAAGGAGCGGGAGAAGGAGAAGCACCACGTGCAGCTGGTGATGTACCGGCGCCTGGCGCTGCTGCGCTGGATCCACGGCCTCCAGCAGAAGGTGGTGGAGCAGCAGAACCGGCTGCAGGAGAGCTTCGACACCATCCTGGACAACCGCAAGGAGCTCATCCGCTGCATGCAGCAGGGCCTGGCGGGCGCCGCGCGCTGAGCCCCGGCCCGCTGCTCCTGCCGGGATGCCCGCGCTCCCGACGCCCGGCCGCACGGAGCCGCTCCCGGCGCTCGCCCTCCACGCGGGGCCGGCGCCCGGTTTTGCTCCGGAGGCTTCTGAAGGGCACGGGCTGCAGCTCCGCGGGGCTCTGCACGCCCCGGGGCCGGGAAAGCTCCGTGCAGCGGCTGCCGCTGGAGTCTCCCCGGCGGCTCCGGCTCCTTCCCGTGTTACAGGACCCTTTTAACGACTGCTGCTCCAACACTTCCTTTTCCACCCGGCAGTTTGGCTCCTGCGCCAGAGCCGTGATCCGGGCTCTGTGCCGCGCGGAGCTGGGGACCTCGGCACACTGGGATTTGCTGTGCGGTGATGCTGAGACTCAGCTTTTTAATCTGCTGCAGGGCCCTTTGTCTGAGCACCTCAGAGCAGGAGCCCATCGCTTCCTGGCAGCTCTGGGGCGCCGGGAAGGACTGTCTAGGAAAACACGTCCCCTCAGACTGGGAAGGCCTGGAGCATCCCCAGCTGCCCTGGGCGGCGGTCGGACACGGCCAGGGCGTTGCCGAGGCCACCAGCTTCATTAGGGCCCTTTAACGAAGTCCTTCTCGCCCTTCTCTCCCGTGGTACCAGTTATTCCCCCAAGCACCGACCGGGAACGTGAGCCAGAGGCCCCGCAGACCCTTCCCGGCGCCCGTCCCCGAAGGCTGCGGGTGCAGGGACGGTGCAGCGCCCGCGGCCGCGTGCACCTTGCATGTGTTTTACTCCGCTCAGGGGCCCTGTGCTGTTCCTGGGGCCCCCTCTTGCACACACAGCACCTCGGAGCAGCAGCGGATTCCAGGCCAGTGCATATTTGCAGCTTCGGTGTCAGTGGGTGTGTTGTGCGTTTTCCTTTGCTCGCAGCCAGGCCTGAGCGTTGCAGGCTCCGCTTCCACGTGCTGCATGGCCGGGACTTGTGCTCTCAGTGTCTGCATTTATTTATCATTTAAAGGAAAAAGGATTTTTTTTTTTTTTTTTGGAGAACATCTATTCTGGCTGCTGGGGCCATCGCCTGGCGTAGCGAGCAGGGCCAGATCTCAGCCCGCCGCGACCACCAGATGCTCCTGCCGTGCAGAGAAATCCCCGGCAAGCAGGGACCTCCGCAAGCCCCGCTCCGGAGGGACGTTCCGGCGGCAGCGGCTGCGTCCGCCCGCGGGGAGCCTGCCCCTCGGAGCCGCCGCTCGGCAGGAGGGCTTTGCCGACCCAAGCTCCCGTCCTCGCGCTCGCTTCGTGTCCCAGCCCCGTGCCCACGGCATGTCCCGCGCGCTAATAAAGCCTGCAGTGGAACGGCTGCGCCGCGCTGGACGTGTCCTTGAGCGTCCCCGTGCCCGCTTTGCCTCTCCCAGCGCGCGGAGCCCGGGGGCACAAGCACCGAGGCTGCCCCGGGGCCTCGCCGAGGCCGGCGGAGCTGCAGGGCCGGGACCCCCCCGGCACCTTCGGCTTCCTTTGCTCTCCCCCTTTCCCGCTTCTCCTTCGCAGCCTGCGGGTAGGTGGGAATTTGGAGACACGGCAGCCCCTCTCTGAACACCCCTGGCCACGTTAGCGGTTCATGAAGGAGAAACCCCTGGGATTTTCCATCCTCTTGTACGAGGGGACTGCGGGGAATTTTGCCCCCACCCACTGCAGCCCCATGTGCGTGTCCCGAGCGAGGACAACACGTTTCCACCGTAGAGCCGTTCGCTGTTTATCTTGGTCAAACGCTTCACCCGGGTAATTGTTTCCAAGGTAAACATTGTGAAAACCCAGGTTATTTGCTCAAGGAATGAAAGGATAACCGCAGGAGCGCAGGAAAGCGCGGGCAGCTCCGGCGGCAGCTGGGCGTCCCGGCGCTGCTGCCGCTCCGTACTGCGCTCCATCCACGCCCTATCCATGCTCTGTCCACGCTCCATCCATGCTCCATCCATGCTCTGTCCGTGCTCTGTCACGGCCACCCTGCTCCCTGGCACTGGGAGCTGCTCCGGGGCTGCCGGCCGCGCTGCGGCGCAGGGAGAAGCTCGGCTGCCTCCCAACACACAGCGAGAAGCACAAGTGTTTCTGCACACATTGCAAAACTCGGTGGCGCTTCCAGGGCAGTTCTATGGATTCTAAGGGTGAAAACAAGCAGGCGCTTGCTGCAGCTCCTGCACCGCTCCTCCGCGAGCCGGGCGCTCCTTGCTCCGGAGCCGCTTCCCGTCTCTCCAGCAGCGCCGCGCCGGGCTCGCCTGGGCCCGGCTATCTGATGGAAACGCGGCTTGAGTCGGCCCGCTTTAATGATTCCCTTTGAAATGTGGCTGCTTCCGCACATCCCCCTTCGGGGGAGAATATTAAGCAAGAGCAACTCGGCTGGAAATTCAGATTGTTTTCGTGTCTGTTTTCATTTACATTTTAATGATAGAGAAATCTTCTAAATCAGCCTGTTTGCCGCACGGCCCCTCCAAAGGGAAGGGGGAAAACCCCGATGCAGCTAGGCCAGTGCAGGGTGTCACGAGTTGCCGGGTCTCAGCAGCAGAAGCCTGATGCCCGCCCGGGCCTCCAGCCCCTTCCCGCGGAGCCGCTCCGGCTTCCCGCTCCCGTGGGCGGCTGGAGCGGGACGCAAGCGCCGAGAGGAGCCCGGCGCGCCGCCGAGCGGGGCCTCTTTATAAAAATTCATGCGGGGCGCGGGCACAAAGCCGAATTAAGCGGAGCCGGTAGCGCCGGGCCGGGTCTGTTCCGTGTTGATACTGCGCTAAGCCGCGGCGGGCTCGCTCGTGGCCGGAGGGGACGGAGCGGCCCGCGCCGCCGCCGCTGAGCCGGGATTGATAACCCGGCGCGGGGGGGGATGCCGCTCCGGGCGGGAAAGCCGGCGCTTATCCCCGCGATAGCAGCCGAGCCGGAGCCGCGCGCCTTGGGGGCAAAAACGGCTTAAAGCCGCTCCGGGGGTCACAGGCAGCTGAGGGGGTGGGGGGGCAGCGCGGCCCCCAGGCCGCTGCCGGGGAGCGGGAACGCGCTGGGATTCCCGCCCCGTCCCCGATCCCGCTGCAGCGGCGGCCCCGCGCGGGGCTGCTCTGCCGATGCCGGCCGGGAGGGAAGCGGGCGGTTTTCACGAAGGGACATCCTCCAGGCAGCTCCGGGAACCCGCCTGGGAGCAGGGATGGGTCCTGCCGTCCTAGGAGCAGCGCGTTCCTGCCCTTCGGAATGAGGAGGCCGATGCTCCCGTCCGTCACTGCTCCAGCCGAGGAGCAAAGCAGTGCCCCCCCCCAGCATCCTCCTTCCCGGTGGGATCCCAGCACCACAGAGCTCCGTGGAGTCCCCAGCCCCACGACGGTGCCGTGGAAATCATTCAGATTAGACACGTGTGCAGTGAGAGCCATCTCCGCGACGGGAGGAGCAAGAACATCCTGCATCAGGAGAGCGGATCCCACGGGAGCGACGCGCTGCTCCCGCGGGAAGGGCGGCAGCTCCCGGGAAGTGAGCGGCACAGGACAGCCCTGCAGGGACGGCCAGGCCTGCGGGCAAAAGTTCCTTTGTCACCTCTTATTTAACCAAGCAGCAAGTGCCGGGGCTAGAGCCGACCACGGGGTCCTGGCCAGGGAGCTCCGGCTGCTGCATCCCGCATACTGCATCCTGCATCCCGCATCCCACATCCCGCATCCGGCTCGGCCGCGCCGGCCGCATCCCACCGTCGCTCGCGCCCCTCCAGCCGCGTCCCGGCTCTTCCTCCGTGCAGCCCTCCCCGCTTGTGCCTCTCTCCCACTAACTTTGTCATTAATTATTTAGCTCCCTGTGTATCATTTAAGGGCGCTTGGCTGAAAACACGCAGGGAGAGAGGAAGGGCCGCTGCCTTGCCGAGGTGCTTGCTCCCGCTCCGCACGTCGTTTTCGTGCCGGTTTTCGGGCCCTGCTTTGCAGCGGGACCCAATCTGATGCACGGGAGTTTGTGCTGGGACCCGACTCGATCCGCTGCGGTTTGTCCCGCTTGCTTTGGCTCCAGGAGCGCGATCCAGGCCTGTGCGCACGCTCCGACCCCGCGCAGCCCACGAGGAGCCTGGGGCAGGCTAGCAGCAGCCCCGCGCCCGAATTCCCCTGGGATCTGCCAGTTCTTCCCTCTCACGGGGATGGAAGGAGCGAGATGGGATGAACCCGCCAGCGGGGCTGCATTTCTAGGAAGGGCTGAGAGGGGAAAGCTCTCCGGGCCTCCCAAGGCCCCGGCCGTGCCGTTCCTGCCCCTCTCCTCGCTCCTGCTGCTCGGAAGGGCCGGGAGCAGCTCGGGACGGTGCCCTGGGACCGGGGCGCTCAGCTGGCGCTTGGTGGTCCCCGAGCATCGCGGGGGCTGACGCGCCTCAAAAGCAGATTTGTTTTCGCCGGCGTTTCACAGGCGTCACGCTCGGTGGCGGGAGACAAAGGCGCAGCCCCTCAATGGACTCCGCAGAATAAACCCTAAACCTCATCAAATCCAATCCGGCAATAAAAATTGCCCGAACAAAAGGCCGGGGGCGGGGGGCGGGGGCGGGGGCCTTTCCGCCACGATAACAAGTTTTCACAGGACTGTTTATCCGCGCAATTTGGAACGACACTTAAAGTCCCTAATCCCAACAGGCATGAAAGTGGCTGTGCGCGGCGGGCAGGTGGGTGCGCGGGGCGGCCGCGGTGCCAGCGCCGCTCGCGGCGGCCGCGCTGCCGCGGGGGTCACCGGGACGCGCCGAGACGGGGCAGCTGCAGCCCCTGAATGCGGCGTTTTAACCTCAAAGCGGCGGCTCCGCGCGGCCCCAGCCCGGCCCCCATTCAGGCTCCGTTTAAAAGGCAGCAAAACGGTTACAAGGTTTAGCGGGGAGGCAGCAAAACGCTCCACAAAGGGGAGGACAAAGGAGCGCTCGGGGACGGCCCTAATCCGGGCAGAGGCAGCGGGACCTGCGGGGATTAAACCCTGCCCAGGGGAGGGTTTAGCCCCGGGGCCGCGCGGCGCCCGCCCGCTCTGCACCCCGCGGTGCCCGCGGCCAGGGAGCATCGCGGGACGGCCGGGAAT